TAAACACATGACCTGAAATGTGTGCAGAATCTTAAAATTGTTCATGAATTTCAGTAAAAAATTATAAGCAACCAAAAAAACATAGGCCAGAAAGAGAGACCAATGAGCCTAGTGTAGCTTTATATGTGAGTGGCTTGGGTTTATTCCTGGCACCACATGTTCCTGTAAGCTCACCAGGAGCAAGTCCTGAGCATCAAGCCAGGAGCAGCTCCTAAGAACAAGCAGGTATCGCTCCAAATCTAAACAATAACAACAACAATTTTTAATAGGCAAAACATATTTATACCTGACCAAACAAAAATCTATAGATAGTAAGTAAGCACATAAAAAGATACTCATATCTTTAACCATCAGGGGAAATGAAATTAAAATCACAAGGAAATACCACTACACACACACACACACACACACACACACACACACACAATTAAAAAGACGAAGATCTGATATGGGCATGAAGTGGAGGTCGAAAACTCTAATACTACTAGAACAAATAAAATAGTCCCACCACTTTGAGAGATAATTTAGGAGTTTCTTAAATAGTTGAGCATACAACTACCACACAAGCAGCCATTTCCACTTCCATATGAAATGAAAACATACAAAGACTTTTATACAAAGGTTCATAGCAGGCTTGTTTGAGATTATCCAAAACTAAAATTTTTTCCCACTGGTTTAAAAGTTAAGTAGTAAGGTAGAGTCACATGTTAGATTCATTGCTGTTCAGCAATAAAAAGAAATGAACAGTTGGTTCATGGCACAGCATGAACGTATCTTGAGATAATGATGGTGTGTGAAAGGAACCAGACAGGGCCAGAGAGAGGACTCAAAGACTGCAGTGTATGCTTTGCATCATGAGTCCTGGGTTTGATTCCCAGCATCCCATGGTCTTCCAAGCAACACTGGCGAGTAACCTCCAAGCACCAATGGGTGCCCCCAATTAATAAATTTTGTATGATCTTATTTATTTAGGGCGGGAGCGATAGCACAGTGGGTAGGGCGTTTGCCTTACATGTGGCCGGCCTGGGTTTGATTCCTCTGCCCCTCTCGGAAAACCTGGCAAGCTACCGAGAATAACTCGCCTGCACGGCAAAGCCTGGCAAGCTCCCCGTGACGTATTCGATATGCCAAACACAGTAACAACAAGTCTCACAATTTGTTGTGAGATGTTACTGGTGCCTGCTCGAGCAAACTGATGAACAATGGGAGGACAGTACTACAGTACTACAGTACGATCTTATTTATGTGAAATACTAGAAAATATAACTTACAGGCACAAAAAACAAATCATTGATTGGCTAGAAAGAGCAGGCAGGAAGCAAAACAAAAAAAAGCAAAAATAAGAAAACGGGTGATGGGCATGTTTACCATTCACTGTAACGGTTTCATGGATGGCTAGATGCCATTGGTACTTCCACATTGCCTGTTATTTGTACAATATAAATTATGCTTTAATAAAGTACTTAAGAAAAAAAAGGCAAGAGAAGGAAGAAAGTCCAGGCCAGAGATAGAGACAAGCGTCTTAAATCATTCTGTGAAAGCAAAGGAGAAAACGAATCTGGAGCTGATAAAGGCTGGACAGAGTCCAGCCTGGGCCCTGTTAGAGGGGAGATGACACACGGCAGGTTTGCTTGCTGATGGTGGGGAAGGGTACCGGTGCGAGTCTTCCACACACACAGGGACATCCTTGCCAGGTAGCTCCTGCCCCCTTCCACCATGCTGTGTCCTGAGGAACAGTCCATGGGGTAAGTAGCCTTTGAGCTCTGGGTGGGGGTGGAGCACTTGTCTTTAGACTGGCTGCACATGTCAAGTTGAAGGTCAGCTTCCCTCCTCTTCCCTTCTCTCCCCAGAGTAAGTGGTAAAATTGTCACTACTTGTCTCATCAACCATCCTCCAGGCTTCCTTGCCTGGCCTAAGCAAATGATCCCTTTATTAACCCTCCTTAGAATCTTCCTCATTTGTGGGTGTCATCTCTGGTCTGCTGGGACTCTGACAGAATGCCTCTCTGTGAAGAACGACTTTAATAACTGAATTCCATGAGAATCTTGCTCCTCAAAAGTGGCCACGGGCCAGCAACATGCATCAGCTGGGCAGGGGTAAGAAAGGCGGAGCTGGGGTTGAAGAGACACTATAGTGGGAAAAGCGCTGGCCTTGCACAGGGTCAACCTGGGTTTGATCCCCGGCATCCCTTATGATCCCCAAAGCATGCAGGGAGTGATTCCTGTGCACAGAGCCTTAAGTAATCCCTAAGTATTGCCAATCCCTAAGTATTGCCAAGCGTGCCCCTGCCAAAAGGAATATAGAACCATGCCCAGCCCCTGCCCCCACCGCTAGGTGGAACCCTCAAAGTGCCTGAGTTTGAATGGTGCTCTTCCCAGTCCAACCTCCCCTCCCCAGATTAGCTCAGGGGTTTTATACCTCAGTACCTGAAAGAGCCTGAACTAGCAATCTAAATGGACCTATGGAAAGGTGACTCCTAGGGGGACAGGACTGATGGGAGTGTGGCCCTAGAGCTCTCAAAGGAGCCTACAGGCTTGGCTGTGTTGGCCTAGATTCACTCCAGCCTTTGTTTCTGGTTCCAAATCACCTATTTTCCTAATCACTTGCTCTAAATCTCATCAGAGCTCTTAGTCACTTACACTTTTGCCTGCCTCCCCATCCGGGCACACTTTCTGCTCATCAAAGACTTCCTGGTCTGTCTTAGAAGCTTATTATGTTGCTCTCTAAATTCCAGTTAGACAATCAGAACATTATTTGCACAATTCATCATCTTTGGGGGCAGAATTTTGTACCAGTTTCCCTCATTGGCTAACAGCTAGCCAGTGGGTCGCCTGCCTGTTCCTGCTCCAGCAGGCACTACGGGCCAGAGGGCATAAACATTCTCCCCAGAAGTGTCTCAGCGAGGGCTGGAGAGGAGATCGCACCACAATCACATGGAGTTAAGATGGTCTGAGAAAACAGGAAATGGATTCTCCTGTCGATTGCAACTTTTTCCCTTTTTCCTACACCAGCTTCCTACACCTCCCTTCCTAGGAATGTACCTTCTGGGGGGCAGATAGGCAAGGACAGGGCTTTCCATAGTCAGGGCATTTCAAATATTATATAACAGAATTAATTCACTAAGCATGTCCATCTGTAATAGCCCCAAACAAATCTAAGCAGGAAGTGGCTGTTGGGTATAGGCCGACCACCGCCTGCCTCGGCCCTGTTCTGCACCAAAAGCTTTCTCACACAGGCCTCATCTCCCTCCTTCTTCCTGCTCTTTTCTTCACATATAAAAATTATCAGTTGGTTTTTCTTTCCCTTACTACATGGTACCAGTGGAGGGACTGCTTGTTTTTCTTCCAAGTACAGGGCCTGGCATATGGGAATTACTGGATTTGTGAGTGTTTTTACTCAGTGAGTGCTCAAGCTCAGTGGTGATGTATTTCCGCCACCCTGAGTACTGTGCAGGGTTCCCAGTGATGATCCCTGCTGAAAAGTGACCTCCCTGGGAGAAAATGGCTCCCAAGTTCCCAGAACCACATATACCTTTTCTATTAGTTCCCTGCCTCTCACGGCTCACAAATCACTCCCAAGAAAGGGGTCTCGGGCCCAGGAATATCGCTCATAAGGGAGAAGCTCATGTTTTGCATGAGAGAGGCCTTGAGTTCAATCCTCAGTGCTACATGCTCTGGCCAATGTTCAGCACTGCCAGATGCGGCCCTGGAGGCTCCGAGCACCAGCTCATCAGCCCTAGTACTGAGCTGCCAGGACTGCATTGCTGGGCCATATATCACCCAGAATGGCTCCTGAGCAACACAGGGCAGGCCACTCTGTAAAAGAAAAAAGGGGTGCAGTGGTCCCTACCTGACTATTATCCCTACCTGTGGGCCAGTGTTTATCAAGGATGTTGCTGCCTTAGCTAGCCAGAGATGAAAGCACTGAACACCATCTACACACCATGGGAGAAATACAACAGTGATGGTACAGTATGTACGACACTTGCTTTGCACAAGACAACCCAGGTTTGATCTCTGGCACCCGAGATGGTCTCCTCCAAGCCCCACCAGGAGTGATCCCTTAAGCATAAAGCCAGGAGTAAGGTTTGAGCACTGCTGGGTGTGGTCCAAATAGTAAACAATGCATATCTATTACCTTGTTTTAAGTCTGTATTACACTGGGATGCTAATTAGCTTTCAATATCTTCAGTAACATATACTGGTCGGAATACACTCATCTTTAGACAATAACCACAAGTCAAACTAGTTACTACACCAAAGGCCATTGACTGCAGGAATAGGCTGTGAAGACACAGAAGAAATAATGGAGCAAAGTCCTTACCATGGAGGGATAAAGAGAACTGTTAAGGGCGAGGCAGAGAAGGCATCAAGTTTCTCAGCTGGTAATTGCATGACCTTGCTATAGCTCATGAGGAAACTGTGAAAAGAGAAACCTTTCAGAGACAAATATAGACCCAGAAAGGTGGAAGGACACAATCAATCCCTTTTCATGGATTCATGAGTAATTTATAGTCATTTATTGAAAGTTAATTTCATTTATATCCAGGTGAGGATACAAAAAAAGAAAGGGGAAGAAAAATAAAAATACAACAATCCATGGGGGCCAAAGGGATAGTACAAGGGGCTTGCTTTGCATGCAGCTGATCCAGATTCAATTCCCGGCATCCTATATGATCCGTCTGTGTGGTTCTTCAAGGAAATTAGTTTAAGAGAACAACTCATTGTTCAAGAACTGGCCACTTTGATTTTAAGAACCTTCACTTGACATTGGGGCTAGAGCAACACTATAGCGAGAAGGGCATTTGCCTTACATGTGGCTAACCTGAGTTCAAAACCCAGCACATCACACAGTCTCCTGACAAGGAGTGATCCCTGAGCACTGCCACGTATGGCCCAAGAACTAACAACAAAAACAAAACAAATGAAAAGAACCTTCCCCTGACAGCAGTTTGAAATAAATGGACACATTAGAAACAAAATTTTACAAGAAATGTTTATTAGTTATCATCTCAAAAAAATACTCTTTCTTTGGGGTTGGTCTATGACAGTTTAGGACTGTTCAATACACTGAAACTGTGAGCTAAGTGATGAAACAGTACATAGAGCTTCTGTGTGGTAAGCTGGACATGTCTCCAATGCCTGCAAGCACAAGAAGGCAGCATTTCCCATGACTAGATATGTCAGTATGTGGGTACAATCTAGTGAACCTGTCACTAGATAAGCCCTTGGGCACAAGATCCACAGGATCCAAGGGCTGCCTAAGCCAACTTTTTTCCCTCTTTCTGATGCATATGACCATAACTAGTAGTTTCCAGGAGAAGCAAAGAGAAGGAAATAGTTATCTTTGACTTTTGAGCAGATGTAATACCAGTTCTTCATCCTCTGCTAAAGTTAGGCCTGTGTCCAAGGGCTCCCACTTGGTCTTCTTTCTATTTCGACTTGTGGGTCCCTCGTCTTCCAATTCACTGTTGTTCCGTTTCCTCGTGCCCTGCTTCTTCTGGGTATCACTGGTGGGAAGAAATCCAATGATTTACTTTATTGACAGGGAATTGTGAAATCAAACACTTGACAAAGAACAAAATTTTCAATAAGATACCAGTTATATAATATTCATGAGTGAGAAATCACAGTATCACGATGTCTGTGTCATAACTAAATCTGCTCCCCTGGACATGTGGGGAAGATCACTGTCCTGTCATGTGTATGCATGCTTTCATGCAGTCCTTTCAGCAATCCTAGGAAGATCCACAATGAAAGAGCATGCAGAGTTCCATGGTGTGCTTGCTTAGCCATATCAAACAGTCTCTACATACAGCAGTTATCAGTTGTAGACTAACAGACATTAGGTACTGAATGCGATAGATCATGAGTGAAACAGAATCTGTGTTAAATGTTAAATTGCAAATTACTTGACATCAAATAAATTTCCGTTTTTCAAAATCTGTACCTAAGACACAGTTTTAAGAAAATACAAATTACTGCAGTTCTGCACATAATTAACACAAAGACCATTTAAAAAATCAGGCTTGTTTCTGAAGGTAGAGAAAAATCACTTGATATATTAAAATGTGAAAGCAAAACATAGTGAAGAAAGCATTTAGAGATAAAATATCACCACGTTAAAAACTACAGAGTTATTGGGTACAGGATAAAAATTTAAAAGACAGCACAGCAATGGCAGTAGAAAATATTTCCCAAGGGCTCCGACATTAACCTCGATGCGTTCCACACGTTTTGTCATTAAGCCTCATGAAAATCCTCAGTGTGTTCAGCATTAGCCTCATTCTATAATGTGGTTAAGAGAAGTTCAATGACTGGACACAGATTACACAAATGGGATTTGAATCCAGAGCTGAATGATTCAGACCTAAATCAGGCTTCTGACATGTAAGTTGATTCATTTATCAACATCTAGATGAAAGCAATACAAAGAATTGGCCATAGAAAAAAGCACTAGATTGGCACTGACAAAATCAGACTTTAGCCAAATAATTAAGATTTTCTAAGTCTCAGTTATCTCATTTGCCCGCTCGAGCAAATCGACGATCAACGGGAGGGCCTTTACCTTTTTTACCTTTAGTTATCTCATATGTAAAGATATGTATTAAATAACTTATTTAGAGGAACTTTCTGTTAAGAATTAAGTAAAATTATAAAGGCCCTCCCGTTGATCATCGATTTGCTCAAGCGGGCCCAGGTAACGTCTCCATTGGAGACTTTGTTGTTACTGTGTCTGGCATATCGAATACTCTCGGTAGCTTGCCGGGCTCTCCGAGAGGGGCGGAGGAATCGAACTCGGGTCGGCCATGTTGGCTGCATGCAAGGCAAACGCCCTACCGCTGTGCTATCGCTCCAGCCCCTTTCTGCTTTAAACTATTCCTTCTGAAATAAATTATACTGATATTAGGTAACGAACAGCAACAAGTACATGGTATATTCCAAAAGAGAACGAAGTTCTCCAATTCCAACCACCTACTGTAAGAAGATGGCCTGGATGTCCCCTCATCAGCACATCTATTTCCAGTCAGAGTGAAGAGAGACTTAAGAATGTTCCCTACTCTCACCCCAGAAAGATCCAATGTCCAGAGACTCAACAGTCATTCTCTCTCTTCATGGGAGTAGAGCCAAACTCTACGACATTTGAAGTTATTGAAGCGAGAAATAAAAACATTTTTTAAAGGTGCCTCAAGAATTGGACACGAAAGATGGGAATTCAGTCAGCAAAGATTTAAAGTAGTGGAGAGGGACCTTTTAAAAAAGGACTCAGGGGCTGGAGCAATGGCACAGCGGGGAGGGCATTTGCCTTGCATGTGGCCAACCCGGGTTCGATTCCCAGCATCCCATACGGTCCCCTGAGCACCGCCAGGAGTAATTCCTGAATGCAGAGCCAGGAATAACCCCTGAGCATCGCTGGGTGTGACCCAAAAAGGAAAAAGAGAAAAAAAAAGGATTCAGTCTTAACCTGTTTGAGAGTATGGCCATCCTGCATCAGTTACACTGGGCTGCAGTGATGATTTATTTGGTTCTGGGTAAGACTGATTTTAGCTTTGTACGTACTTTAAGTGCTTTTCAGAGTGGCTCATCGGAACCAACCTAATTAGTGGGCTTTACTGAGCATCTTTTCTTAATGTGCTCTGGCAGGTTATATTCCCTACAGGAAATGATTGGCTTAGATAATAATAATAAGATGAAAATTTTATGTAGCCTAACTATTTTCACAATTAGCAGCTTTGTTGTTTTATGGACAAGTTTAAATTCTAGAAAAATATTTCATACTGTTTTTCATAGCAGAGAGGCAGGAACTTGATAACAAAATTATTTCAAAATGCTATAGATGATTCATAGGTAATTTACCCCAAAGAAAGATTAACATAATAATTAATTAAGAAAATAATTAGCAGAAAGTTAAATATGGTTCTAATCTAGTCTCTTTAGAAAAGGCCTTCCCCAAATGCTGTGGTATTAGAGAGTGTCATCATGACATTCAGCATTCATGTCCCCCCATTACCTGGTCTCCTCACACAGACCAAAGTGACTCTGTGAACCTGCGGGGTCCAGCACTATCCACCAGCATGAGACCCAACCCTGCACTGGATAACGGAAACACAGACCTCCACACTAGCTGTGAAGCCTGCAGAGATCCTAGTACGTCACCCACTACACCCTCCAACCTGGCCTACCTAGATCCCTGTCTGCTCCCAATAGTGATAATCAGAGGAGATTGTAGCAAACAGCTAGTGAGCACAACATGAAATCAATGAGCCCAGGAGAAAGCAAAAACTTTCATTTCAGTGTCACTGCAGGGAAAACAAAAGGGAGGCGTCAACATTCAGCCTGGTGTACTGTAGAATCAGGAGAAGGCATACAAGTTTCTGTGAGAAGAGGAAGAAGCAGGGAATGGATGTGTCCATAGGTGTGAGAAAGCCACATAATCCTAGCAGGACTGACAAAGTTTCTCTCCAGATAAAAAGCTGAAGAAGGTGACAGCTATTCCAAGTGTGAAGAAAGCAACACAAATCTTGTACAAATATAAAAAAAAATCCAAGAAATACGACCCCACCAAGCAACCACAATACTTTTCTAGTAGTCAATCTCAAGATATGATCATCTGTAGCATACCAATGCAAAAATCAGAACAGGTAAGTTAGAAAAACTCAATGTGTGCATAATCCATAGAAAGAAAATTCTGAAGAATCAGAAAAACGATAATGAACAAAATGAAAAATGTAACAAGAGAATTTATTTTCTGCAGCTAAAGAATGTTATGAATTATAAAAAAAACTGATAGAATAAACAGGAAAATGGAAAAAACAGAACAAAGATCTGTGAGTTAGACAAGAATTCTGAAACAATCTGAAATTCTTAAAACAGTTAAAGGAAAAGTAAAAAGTGCAGAAGGCCTACTTGATTTGTGGCATAATTTAAAAAGAAATAATTGGCAAATTACTGGAAACTAGGAAGAGAAGAGAGAGAGTGGGCAGAAAGTTTTATTCAAGAAATTAGATCAAAGAACTTCTCAATTTGGGGGAAAGACTGGAACATCTAAATTCATGAAGCTCATAGGCCCCCAAACTCAACCTGAGATCTCAAAGACACAGTACTGCAAAACTGTCAAAAGTCAAAGCCAGAATCTTAAAAGAATGAGAGGGAAAAAAATCTTACCCTGTGCCAGGGGATTCCCATAAGCTATCAGTGGACATGTCAACAGAAATTTTATAGGCCAGTAAGAATTGGGATGATAGTATCAAAATATTGAAAGAAAACTCTGTCAGCCGAACACTCTGCATGGCAGTCATCTTTCAGAAAAGGAGAGACAGACACTAATCGGTGGGGGGATATGAAGGAAGCCACTAGACCTAATTTACAAAGAATGCTGAAAGAAGTTGAAGTTGAAGTGAAAGACATAAAAATATCCAATATATTGGTAAATTCAGAGCATGCTAACAGCATTAATATGGTGGTATGTTCATCTCTTAACACTAATGTAAGGGTGAAAGAGAAGTTTTAGTTTTAGCCCTATGAAGCTTTAGCCCTATTTAGTTAGTTGCTGAGAGCTCTATTGAATCCAATTTAAGTGGGACTGCTTTATCATCACATATAATAATAGAGTCCTAGTTCCTTGGTTATCAAATTACTTTCTGCAAGTGATGGGGTGGATTCACGAATCTTCAAATTAAAGGTTATATTACATAATATTGCAAATCAACAGTCAACTAAAAACAAAGAGCTCTAGTAGGTGTTCATGCATCATAGGAAAGTTTACTAAATAGACAGTGGAACTTTCTGAAGGTAAAAGTCTGCTGAAAGTGCAGTGCAGTAAGAAGCAGTGGCAACTCCTGGGTTTCTCTTCCGGAAACGAGGGAGCCCTACTCGGTAGGGATGGTGGGAAGCTCACAAGCACGGCCTGAAAGCCAGGCAGTGATGGGCAAAACAGAGGAGCTATTAGGGTTCTGTACTTCAGCTTCAGATGAGTTACCTCTATGAGATTTTAAGTGCCATGCTTCTCAAATGTACAAAGTATTTGTGAAAAGGACCAATATTTCTGCTCGATATGAGCAGCATACAGCATATTGGTCGAAAAAACATGGATTCAGATTCAAAGGCATAGCTCAGAGGACTATAAAGCCAGAAAACAGTAAGAGCAGAAGAATTCATATTCTGCAGTCACTTAAATAATGAAAAGATGTGATTAGAAATGTCTGCTGGATTAAAGAACCCTACAACAAAGCAAAAATGGAAAGTGTTAAAATATTTCATCGAAACAACAGGAAAATCGGCAATGACCCTGAATTTTGTGAAAATGGGTACCCAAATGCTTGTCAGAATGCCCAAAGATTTGAGTCAACTTGTTTACAGGCAATATTTAAGAGAAAAAGATTATAAAACTGGAAGATGAGCAACACTTTAAAATTTTAGTAATTAAGTTCTTAATTGAAATGTAGTTTTCTTGGCGCTCAACTCAAACTTCAAAGTCCGTTGAGAACCTAACCTGTTTTTTTCTACTGGT